TAGTAGCCAAACATCAATTTGTTCAAATCTGTATTAGGTCTGTCTCTTCCCACGTTTTCTCTCCACAGCCTCTTTGACCTCTCTAGTCCACAGTTGCCTAACCTCCAAAGCTGTCTTCCCATGCCGTTCCTAGACTGTATGGCTTTCTTCTCAGCACCCCTTTCTTAACCATTCCTTATCTTATCTCCCAGCCTCTCCTGACAATTATTTCTTCAGAGATTCTGCTTTGGCAGTCTGCTTACTCTTTCACCTTTCATTCAGACATCCCACCTCCCAAATTCCTTGTCTCTTACTTCCCCTATTTCCTAAATCCTCTTTCTTTTCCCCCCTCAGCCTCCTTTCTTTCCCAGCCCTATTCCTGCCAGTGATGCACAGTTCTTCCTGTTTCCAATTTTACTTCCCCTCCCCCCAACCATACTGTTTAACCTCTTCTCAGGAGATACATAGTTGTCATTGTTGTGTTAACAGTTTCACTTTTGGATCTGGAATGTTCATAAACAACCAAATGGAATCATAACAACACTAGATTCCCCCCCCCCCCGTTAAATCTCTTTAATGCACAAGCATTTTCAAGGAACATACCACTGTCATTGATTTCTAAATACACAGTATTTATAACTTGCAAATCCCAAAAAGGGTTTCCCTTGGGAGATGGGGTGTAAAGTTGCAAATATAACAGCCCAAATGTTGAATTATAGTGAACCTGAGAGATTATCATTCCTATTACCATAAGGGTGTTTTGTTTTGTTTTTGTTGTATTTCTTAATTATTGGGTTTTCCTTGCAATGGGATAAAGAATCTAATACTTTCAAATTTATAATCCTAGGAGCAGTAATTAAGAGTATGTTCTTCCTAAATGAAGATTTCCCCCCAGCATTTCCTTAGTAGTATGGTTTTCAGGACTTTTACCTTCAGGAAACAGTTTCCACATGCATCTGAACCCCCATCTCTGCTGCTAATTCTGCAGAGGACACCCCAGAGGATTCTAAGGGATGTTCTAGGGTGCATAGTTGGGGGAGTTGGTCAAGACTTTAAGGTCTCACTTCACTATTGTCCTCTGTGAATAGACTGCATACCCTATGATAAACCCAGCATTCACTTGCAGCTGTACATTTTAGGGGAACATAAGCATAGATGAAGTTTAGTAGGGATGCTCATCTGTGATTACTCATGTTCTCTTTCAGGGACCTTTGATAAGCTTCTGAGGAATCCCACAGTTCCTCAGAACACGGTTTGAAAGCCACTGTCAGTGCAGTGGTGCCTGGCTTACTGCTTGGCTATCCATTAATTTTAACTCTGTTGCAAGTATACACATTACAGACTGGTATGCGTGAGGCCTTGGCACCTCCTATATACAAAGAAGGAAGGAAGGAACTTTCTGTCATTGGGTTGGATTTCACACCAGAACTGAAAGCAGTTCAGGTTCGGCACTTGTAGTGTCTCCACCTCCGCACAGCAGTTTGTAGATTTCTGTTCTTCTTGTGCCATGCATAGGCTTTGTTCACCATCACCACTTTGCTATTCTGGACCTCCCCAGTGATCACGTAGACCCCTGTGTTTGTGCCTCTCATGATGTTGTGAACACAGGTGGCATCTAGATCCAGCCACTGCTTGAGCTTGGGGTGAGTTTCAGTCTTGAGAAGGGGACCATGCTTCAGAATTTCCAACTTTGAGTCAAGGTCGAAGTCAGCAATGACAGATGTCTTGTTCTTCCTGGAAATTCTAATTTTCACAGCTGGAACAAACAGCATTAAAGAAATCTAAAAGTCAACGAAAGAGGCTTTTTCACTGTTTCCTCACATTATTTTGTAGCTGTAGAGGGCAGACAGTCCACTATCCACTCACCTGCAGTTTTGTTCAACATCTGTTGCAACTTGGCAGGCAGTTCCCTAGTACAGTAAATCTTTCTCTAAAAAAGCAGTTTTATTTTAGGGTGCATAATTATGTGCTGATATTAGCAACACATATGTTCGAGCATCTTCATGAAATTCTTAGCATCACAAGCCTTCTGCCTGTGGCTCCAACTGCCAGGCACTTCGTGTCACAATTATAGTAATATTCTCTGATTTTTCTTTATATGAAGGAATCCTAATTATAAATAGCAGGAATTAAATTCTGTCCCATCTGCTTTGTGCCAGATTTTCCCCCCCTGTTCAGCACAGTGTAGTGACAGAATGAGGATTCAAATTAATAATCCAACTTCCTTTTTTCTCAGCTATTACTTGTTTGGGGACTCAGTTGAGTATTAGTTAAATGTAAACAGTGGAATCTCCTTTTATCTCTGTGGCCTTTCAGAATCCATCTGTTAATTAACAGATTCTCCTGCTAGAATTCTAATCTTGTATAGGAAATTAGAAGTTTGAACACTGTTTACCCGCAGTCTACATAATCAACTTTAGTTGAAATTAATTAATCTTTACTGGCCCCTTGACCTCAGGAGACAATTCAGCATTGGCTGAGGAACCCACATGCACTGTGAGGTCATTCCCCCCTCCCCACCTTGTCTGAGCTGTCTTTAAAATACAGTGATGGAGAATACCCTGGAAGAAGGGGAGGGCTACGTACATCATTGTTCCTAGGACTGTCTCTTTACTTCAAGATTAGAATGTGGATTCACATCTCAGATCATAAATAGATCATATGTACATTAATTTTCTTTGCAGTAGTATGATTTTGTTACAAGAACTGTAAAATTTTCAAGATTCAGATCATAACCTTTTCTTTCCCTTGAAATACTCCTGAGATATGTTTTAACTCCAGCAGACTGCCTTCTTGTTTTAACAGAAACCTTTTGGCATTCCTTTCTGTAGTTAAATGTCTAGATAAGCCCTTACTGGCTAATGTTGAATTTTGGTGAGTGGTGCATTTGTAACATCATAGCCAGATGCTAATCCTCAAAGGAGAGTGAGGAAACTCCCTAAGACAAGGACTATCATTTGTGACACTTCATCCACAGGTTTAAGAAAGGAGCATGTGGGAATGACAGTGGCATCTTGCAAGTCTTCTCTTCAGAAATTTCTTTGGCTGAGTGGTTGAAGGGCAGGAAGCGATAGCTTACTTACCAAAGTCACTGATGCAAAAGTTTTCCAGGATCTCCTTGGCAGAGGTTGGTTCTTCTAGTTCACAGTCCCTGCAGCTAGCTCGAGGTACTGCTGGAACACACAGAAAGTTGCCGACATGTAAACAGAGCCACAGTTGCTTCCTTTGAAGCACAGGAGGAAGAAAGTTACTTTTGTCTGTTCCCTAGAGAGTGTTTGTTTTGATTTTTGATCCCACAGTGAGAAACAACAAGAGTATGGTTTAACACCGTTCTACCTTTTTGCTTCAGAAATCTGCTTCCAGCACCAAATGGTCAGAGCTAACACATGTTTCTACAAAACCAAAAGGTTACGTGATGTTGAAGTAGTTCAGAACTGGATGACGTTTACCTCCCCCCCCCCCCCCCCCACTTACAACAGCTACTTTGGAAGAAACAACTCTGTTTTGATCTTGGGCTTGATATCTTATGTTTCTCTCCAAACATGGTAGGTCCCCATCCCACCCACTGCTTCCTATGGGCTCATTCTAGCATAAACCTTGCAGCGGCATTATATGAGGTTATTGTTGGTAAACTCTTTGGTTCTTCCAAATTAGTCGGCATTGGGAAAAGCCCAAGCCGAACACACAGAGCCCAGTGACCTCACACTCCTGCAGCTTTGATGCTTTGTGGATTTCTGTCAAGTTGCGTTGTGACGTTTTGTCGCACAACCGTGTACAAAGAAGCACAGTGCCTTACTTCTCTTGCTTGAAGCACTTTCATCAGTGACTGAGGAGATGCACAGCTCATGATCGTCGGGAAATTTGTTGCAGGTCAGGATTTCAGGCCAAGGGTACCCATAGCAAGCCATGACTGGGGCACAGCTGCTCCTGACAGCTTCACAAAGGCTTCGGCAAGGATAGATGAGCCTGAAAAGGGAGGCAGAGCATCACATCACATCACATCAGTTTCAGAACTCTTCCTCATGAGAATGAATGGCTGTTACCCGTTTCAGATCAACCCCATTCCATCACTGTAATTGGGTTACTTGTTTAATAGAATAATAGTAAATGAGGTTTGTGGACTATAAGGAAGGCCGAGCGCCGAAGAATAGATTCTTTTGAACTATGGTGCTGGAGAAGACTCTTGAGAGTCCCTTGGGCGGCAAGAAGATCAAATCAGTCAATCCTAAAAGAAATCAACCCTGACTGTTCCCTGGAAGGCCAGATAATGAAACTGAAGCTCAACTACTTTGGCCACCAAATGAGAAGGGAGCGCTCACTGGAGAAGACCCTGATGCTGGGAAAGATTGAAGGTCAAAGAAGACGGGGACGGCAAAGGATGAGATGGTTAGACAGTGTCATTGATGCAACGGAAATGAAATTGAGCAAACTTCAGAGGACGGCGGAAGACAGGAGGGCCTGGCGGGATCTGGTCCATGGGGTTGCAAAGAGTCGGACTTGACTGTGTGACTGAACAACAACAAAATGAGGTTTGACTTCTGCCTGGGTGGGAGGAGAGCCAGTATGAATTTCTTGACCTACAGAAACTTGTGGAGTCATTATGTTTTATTCTGATACTAACAATGAGGTAATCATCTGTGCAGGTTGTGTGTAGGTAGGTGCAGGGCCCCCCTCCATCTCATTGCATCTCTATAGCATCCCTGTTAGTGGAAGCTGAGCCCCCCTCCCCACCCAGCATCAAACACTGCATGGTTTGCTCCCCCAACCACATTTTTCTGTGGTCGCCATTGCCATTCCCCCACTTTTCCCCCTCCTATCAGCCACATCCCAAGTTGGAGCTCAATGATTTTGTGTGACAGAACTCGGCTGGAAGCAAGCCCCGCCTTGGATTCTGTCTCCTGAGTCATGCTAGAATGGGTTGGTACCCAGAAATTGGCTTTTATGGACACAAGTTGGATATTTGAACTCAGAATAACCAAGGATGTATATTCCAAGCAATACAGTTAACAGTTAATCTGTTCAAGCATATGTTGGGTGGATGTGCGTGTGTGAGAGGGTTTTCCCCCCCTGATATCTTCCAAACCCATTTAAGTAGGAGAGTCTGAATCTGCAATAAGGGAGTAGAATAAAAATGTGAACTTGAATACGTACCTTACTTTGAGTTAAAATCCTTCTGTTGGCTTTGGGCTGAATGATGTTAACCAAACAGATGCAAAGTGTCATATGTTACCTAAACAGAGGCTATGCTGGGATTTTAGGATAGTGCATTTTTCCCCCTGATACAAACTATTCTCTTGACTTTCATTGTGTGTACTTAATATACTGAATGCAAACGTTGAGCTACAACAGATGCTGTCAGACTTGCAGATTAAGGACCAAACATCCATGAAGAGTGTTGTAGGCTGGAGAATGAAGCAAAACCCCACAGAAGACAGGGCTCATGCCTTCCTCTGCTATCTGGCATTGTTAGGATGCTTTGGTGTTCCAGTGAACTATCTTTAGCCTGAACTGGCATACATTATCTTTCTTTCAACGATAAAGTGAACAGTTCCAGCTCTGTTGTAGCTGTTACTCTCTACTAGCATGATAAAATAGTGTAGGGTTTTCTTTTCTTTTACTGGCTGAACAAATTCTCCTTTCTGGGTTTGGATTTGTGACTCTCATTTTTCTTAATACATTTCTGTCTTGTGAAGTAGTTTGTTGGTGCAGCACTATTCCAGTGATGGGTAATCAGTGCAGACTGATCACATCAAGTGGGTGTGTACCCTTTGTTTTTGAGTGCAGATGAACCACCAAAATAAGACAAGAAAACTGGTTTTGAGTGCAGATAAACCACTAAGATAAGAAGAGAAAACTGTGAAAGATAATAATGTCTAGTCTTAACTAGTGACCTAAATGCTGGTATACAAGGCAGAAAATTTATGAAAGTGAGAATAGAGTTATTGGTTTGAACTAAGGAGATGCTCATAGTGAGCTTTGTAATAGCAAATAGCAAAATTATGCTGACACATAGGGCAGCCTAGGAAACCAAAAGCGACTCCGGACATTTTAACACATGAGGCATAAGTGTGCATATGACCCTCTCTCATACTACTTGTGCTAAGTGTTAACATGGAAGAGAAATCAAATTATTTCTGAAGTCAATGTTCATCCACCTTTTTCATTAGAGACTAGTGTAAGCCAAAGGTCATTTAAGTGTGCGAGTGCATAGAAAGCATATATAAAGCAGAGATACATCAGTACTACAGTACTCAGGATTTGCAAGGCAATTTGTGATAGGGGGAAGAGGAAGAGACTGAAAGTAAATAAGACCTCATTTCTAGCAAATGCCCTTACCTGTCCAGGCAGATTGGAGCAAAGAGGGAACAGAGGAAGATCCGGGCATCCGGATGGCACTCTCTGGCCAGCAAGGGCAACCAGCTGGCAGACTGCTGGATAGCCTCAGCCATGGTGTCATGGTCCAGTAGGTTGGGGAGTCTCATCTCGGTGTACCCAATGTCATAGCACAAAGCCATGCTTCTTGGAATCAGTATGCATCTGGAAGAGCTTCTCCGGTAGCTTCCCAAAACTCCTGGGGAATCCCAGATTAGGAAATACCCCAAAAGAACCAGCAGCTGTTGTGTGCCCATCATGGTGGGATGTTGGCGATTTGCTCCTCTCATTGTCTCTCTGAACATGCCCCTCCCCAGGAAAATGTGACCGATTAAATCCTGCTGCCCCAAAGACTATCTAGGCTGATGAGATCTCCTGGTGGGGTGAGTGTTTATTATAGCTGAGGGGGCCACCTCTGTATCACAGTGTCACTATCTTGCTTGGCCAGAGGCCCCCATTGTTTCGGGTTTTGACAGAGGTTTTTGGCTTAAACTAGTAGGTGGCAAAACGAGGGCAATCAAATCAGCTTGAACGGTTCTCCTCCCCAAACACACACTCTTCAGTATCTTGGAGTTTGGAGCTTTGATTGAATCACTGTTTGAGACCATTGCTCAGGCCTACCCCCCACCCCACCCCTTTTTGCCAGGGATTAGTTCATTATTTGAGAAAACACCAGCGTTTTCTTCTCTCGGTGAGTGCTTTGCCACACAACACAAAAGTTAATTAAGAGCCATTTGTTTAGCCCTGTTGGCTCCTGGGTTGTCAAACAGCCAAGGGGGTGTGTCAGCCCCATGTTCTGATTGTTAGCTCTTTGGGAGGGATTTTCTCTAGTTTGGATAGGCTCCTTTGCATATAGCCTTGGAGGTCATTGTTTACACAAAGGATGTAATTGGCAAACTTTAAAAAAAAATCTTGCTACAATGCCACAGGAAATTAATTGTTGACAGTGGTGTACACATCTTTCTTCACCACGAAATGTGCTGCCGCCGATATGAGTGGAGAGCTCTAATTCTCATGCAGTCGGTGAAAACGTCTATCATCACTTCCACGCAGTTTAATGTAGGTCTTGTAAAGCCTTAGGGGGCATTGCTTATTGGGCTGGCTCATTGTTGGTTTGTTTTGTGCCATTGATTAATCACTGGGGTCTCTCTGGAGGAATGCCTCGTAAGAGGATTTTGTGCTCCTTGTCACAGAATGGGTTCTCTGTTCGGGCATTTATATGGCCACCGTCAAGTTTTCTATGCCTTTTTTTGCTTCCTGTGAAATAGAAGGTAACCTCTTTCTGAGTTTCCTAGCTCAGTGCCAGGTGAGAACTGAATTATTAAAGTTTATTGGGATGCATCTTGGCATTTAGTCATGCCGGCCACATGACCACGGAAACGTCTTCGGATAGCGCTGGCTCTTCGGCTTGGAAACGGAGATGAGCACCGCATCCCTAGAGTCGGATTCGACTGGCTTTCGAGCAAGGGAAACCTTTACCTTTACTTTATAAGGCCCTTGCCTTTTGTGCGTGTCATTCTTCAGATGTGGTCAGTGTCAGGTAGCAGATAAAGTGCTGAGTTAAGATCGGAGCTCAGATTCTGTGACAATAGCCGTTAATGTAATACGCAAATCTGTGGTAGTGTTTCTTAGATGTTATCTGCAAAAATGAAAGAGATACGCGTAAAATGTTGGGTTACAAAAAAAGTACTTGAAAATTAATAAACATTTGGAATTTTGTTGCCTAGAAGTTTAAATACAAAAAGCCCGGACAAGTATTGATCAAGGAATCATAGTAATCCAGCTGCTCAGTAATGCCTTTTCCTTTTTGAGACCAGTTAATTACAAGTGAAAGTTAATTTTTTTCTTTACGAAATTAGCATTATCGGGTCATTCTGCACGTGCATAAAAAGCCTAAACTTGCTGCCTGTGAGGCCTGAAAAGACCTGGAATTCTCTAATTGAAGAAGTGTCTTTAAAGATGGGGAGGAAAAGGGAGATGGTTTGGTTACCAGAAGGGTTTTAACAGGTATTTTTCTACGTGCCTCTCTCAAGTGATAGAAGATTTTTATTTCTGGGAGGAGGTAGGAGCCGGAAAGGTGAACTCCAGCTTGAGGTATAGTAACCTGGGACCTAGGCCACACATATCCCCTTAGATAGACTGAAGGTATGTTCAGGGGGTCATTGTGTCACCACACCTTCCTGCGTATTCTATTCTTGATGGGGGTTCCGTTGCCTTTCTTGCTCAAGAGCAAGGTCGGCAAAGCTTACTGAACTGCTGCTGTGACTAATTGTGCTTAATTTGCTGTGACAGAGAGACGTCACATGGCAAGGGATGGGATGACTTTAAAGGGAAAGGTATTGTACTTTTCATCCCATGTTGTGAATCTTACTTAGTGTTCCTTTTTGGTGGTCATCTTTGATAAAATGTGCACTTTTCCCTCTTTGGCAGAAATTCCAGACTTTCTGACTGAGGACGAATGTAAACTAATTATCCATCTGGCTCAGCTGAAAGGGCTACAGAAAAGCCAGATCCTGCCCACAGATGATTATGAGGAAGCAATGGAAATGATAGATATCAGTCAGATGGATATCTTCAATCTACTGGACCATAACCAGGATGGACAGCTGCAGCTCAAGGAGGTATTCAGGAGAGAACAATTTGATACTCTCTGAGATGTACTGTGTGAACACTGAGCACCTTTACCCATAAGTATGTAGATACCTTTGGTCTGGTTGCACATCATGAACATTCGGGGACAATCCTGTACACATCTAGATTGGCACTGCTGGAAGGTCAACTTTCATATAGGACAGAGGACTGGAAATAAATATTGGCCTGCTGTGATCTTTTTGGGCCCTTAGTCAGAAGTGTCATCAGTTGTTGTCTTTAACAGTTCTCTCAAGATGGAGGGCTGATAGGCTGTCCAGTTAACTTCCACCTTTTTGGCTCTCAACAGGGTTGGAAATACTTACTGTAAAACTGTTTCCTTTTCACTAGGGTCTCTTTACTTGTAGAGAGCTGGGCCTTGCATTTGGTCTTGCATGCAACAATACAAATAGATGTTTACCTCTAGATTAAACAGGTCTGGAAGATTTGTGTGTGCTGCTGAATCTAGCTGATTAGCACGTTACATTGTTGTGTCTTATCATTCGATGACTCTCCTCTGAACTCAGAGTACCTTTTTTGTGTCTGAGGGGATATGAAAGTTCTTACTGTGGTATCCTATGTCATGGTTGTGCTCCCATGTGCAATTCATTGCTTGTTCATGTGGTCATTAAGAGGTGAACCTGAATGCCAGACCTTGCCCTCAGTAACCTCCCTGAAAACCGTAGCCAAGTTTATGAAAGACATTGCTACCTAGCAATGACAGAATAAGTTTGGGAAATCTGGGCGTAGGCTGCTCAGCCACATGATCCTCGGCAAATCACATGCCTTTGTTTCACTCCAGATTCTAGGGATGTATGGCCAATTTAATATGCTCAGAAGCTGACACATTTGTAATTTCAGGTGCTGACGCATACCCGTCTAGGAAATGGCAGGTGGATGACCCCAGAGAGCATCCGGGAGATGTACGCTGCTGTGAAAGCGGATCCAGATGGCAATGGTGAGATGGAGTTAGTGCCACCTTCTGACATACTCGGAATCATTCATTGTTCATTCCCCGTCCCACGAGCTTGGCCTATTATAATCCAGTTAAGAGAGAAGCTCCCAAAATGAGCACAGCATAAGAACTGTCCGTAAAATAGTAAAGAAACAAATTTATTTGAGGGTTTATGAATATAAATCTGCTTAAAAAGTCTAGGGCATTTTGGACCATAAAGTGCCATTAATCAAGAACATTTTGGGTACAAGCTTTAAATAAGCAGGAGAATAAAAAACTGCTTCGTTTTACCAAGCCTGTTGGCAGAATGAGAAACTGAGCTAGAGGAACCAGAAGAGGTATTCCCAAGTCTCCTGCTTGACATACTTTAGTATTGTCTCTTCATAAATTCTAACATTCAGGCTGGGTTATTCTGTGTTCACTCTAGGCCACTGGTCTCAAATGCAGTCTGTGCAGGTGCAGAAACATCTTGCCTTTCCCAGGCAACAATGAATATTGTAAGTGTCATTAAGCATTAAGAGAGAATCATGGAAAGTTAGGGCTGAGATCTACCATTAATACAGAGAAGTTGGGTAGTGAAGGAACTCATAGATAAGCTATTCAGGAGATGTAATGGATTTCAAATACTACTAGATGAAAACTACTCTATGGATTATTAATACTCCAGAATAAGAAGGTTTCTTGGCCTGAGAATAAAAGCCAAGGTACAAGGCTAATTAGACTGATAGGAACTAAATAAGAAAAGCTTTGCATTCTTTTCCGAAGTCTGCAGACAAAGGTGTGAAGAGAATTCTGTAGCATTGGGGCTGCTATTAAAAAGGCCCTGCTACAACTCCACAGTTCATAAGAACATAAGAACATAAGAGACGCCAATGTTGGATCAGGCCAAAGGCCCATCCAGTCCAACACTCTGTGTCACACAGTGGCCAGAAATACCAGTGCCATCAGGAGGTCCACCAGTGGGGCCAGGACATTAGAAGCCCTCCCACTGTTGACCCCCCCCCCCAAGCACCAAGAAGACAGAGCATCACTTGCCCCAGAGCCCCTAGCTATACCTTGTGGCTAATAGCCACTGATGGACCTCTGCTCCATATGCTTATCTAATTCCCTTTTGAAGCCGTCCATGCTTGTAGCACCCACCACTTCCTGTGGCAGTGAATTCCAAGTGTTAATCACTCTTTGGGTGAAGAAGTACTTCCTTTTATCCGTTCTAACCCGACCGCTCTGCAGTTTCATGGAGTGCCCACGAGTTCTTGTATTGTGAGAAAGGGAGAAAAGTACCTCTTTCTTTACCTGCTCTTTCCCATGCATAATCTTATAAACCTCGATCATGTCACCCCTCAGTCGTCTTTTCTCCAAGCTAAAGAGCCCTAAGCGCTTTAACCTTTCCTCATAGGGAAAGTGTTCCAACCCTTTTATCATTCGAGTTGCCCTTTTCTGCACTTTTTCCAAAGCTATAATATCCTTTTTAAGGTGTGGTGCCCAGAACTGCACACAGTATTCCAAATGAGGTCTCACCATTTGTTTATATAGGGGCATTATTATATTTGCTATTATTATTATTATTATTATTATTATTTTCCATCTCCAAATGACTGGACTTCACAACTGGAAGGAGCTTCCTGGAGGGCTCTATGAACAGATTGTATAAGGTGTTACCACAACCCCACAAACACATGTGAACATACATTCAGATCAGCATGGCGAATTAGTTTGCGTGTTTGTGTAGGACACAGAAAACTGGGATCTTTTACCTGAAGAGATGGGTGTGAGTAGCAAGTTTTCAGTAGGAAAATCAGAGACCTGATTTAAAAGGAATACAGAGTTTCTTGAGGGATTTGGTACAACAGTTGGGGCTGGCTTATTTTAAGCAAATACTAGCAGTACTAAATTAAAACACATACACATTAGTTATCCTAACTAATATAGCAACAATAACCAAACAATCAGCAGATTTGCTTTACTGGAGTAGAGGTTACCCTTTGAACTAAAGGTGTACATGTGGTTTGGAAAATAAGGAGGGGGATAGATCAAGAGGGAGAGCAAAAATTACCTGTCCTAGTCTGGAAGAAACCAGATGGAAGAAGGAGAGATCCAGTGTGGGTGTTGGGAGTCTACTGCAGTTCTGTTAGTATCCACGATCAGGTTCCAGTTATTGTCTCTAAAGCCAGGCCAGTTACACTGTTTTTGGCCCATAGCATAAAACGGATTCTTTTCAAGAAACAAAAGATTACGACAGAGTATAAAGGAATGCCTGAGAGCTGGGCAGCTTATCAGGCAAAAACTGTAGAACTGACGAAACAGCCCCAGGGAAGGGCAACAGGAAGGGAAGTTCTTGGTTGCATTACAATTCAGGATTACAAAACTGGAGGCATAAAGCTGGGTCATATCTTTGGGAGTCTGGGGGGCAATGGGAAGACTTGAATTGGGGGTTCCAGATTGTCACAGATTGCAGATCATGATTGCAGATCATGTAAAAGACAATACAGGAGGAGGCATCTTTGCCATCTAACCTGACGTGGTTTAATTGCTGCTGTACTGTTTGCACTCCCCGATTTTCCCCAGAAAGTCTTCCTTGGAGGCATTTTCTGTGGTCATCCCAAGATCCTCTGCTGTGTTCACCGCTGCAAGATTCTCTGTGAGACACAAAACATGGCAGTTGCTCCCCATGTTCTTTGTGTGCCTGGTAGGACTTGCTCACAGTGTTACACGTGCAGTACATACAGTCAGGCTGGGAGGGGAAAGTGTGCAGACAGAATCATAGAGTTGGAAGGGACTGCCAAAGCCATCTAGTCCAACCCCCTGCACAATGCAGGAAATTCAGCAATACCTCCCCCTCCGCACCCGCAGTGACCGCTGTTCCACACCCAGAAGATGACAAAAAAACCTCCAGGATCTCTGGCCAAACTGGCCTGGAGAACAGTGGCTTCCTGACCTAAAGTGGCGACCAGCATTTCCCTGGGCGTGTAAGAAAGGGCCACAAGAACTAAGTGTTGTAAGAATTTTGGATGTGTGGGTGTGTGTTTAACCCTGTCACCCACACTTCCCCCTCCTTCCCTCAGTTCGTGTGTCTCCTGTGTTGCCCCTTACCATAGGCAGAAGTGCAAGCTTGGAATTCACTAGTCTCTTCTTAAAATAAAACTTATCTTTATTATAGCAAAACATTAATAGTTCCTAAACATACACACAGAAAAATAAACATGCAAAACAAAGTTTTTTCCACCCCATGCATGCGCGTCGAGAGGCACTCTCTAACTGAATCCTTTTCGGATTCAGCTGCCGTCTGTGGGCTCTGGACCAGTATTTTAAACCCAACATCAAAGGAGGAGTTCTTTTTGATGATCATATCAGGTGTTGATTAGCATGGAAGTGGAAATTTCCTATCTGAAAATTGCTTCCTAAAAGATGATTGTATTACAGGAAATATTGTTTCCTTGGTCTCACACAATAAAAGTCCAAAGGGATCAATACAGTGTCATCCAGGTGTCCCCCAATCAGGGAAATAAACTGTGCTTTGATCTTTAGAGAGATGAAAAGCGGGGTATGTGTGTGAACTCTCTGTCTCTCAGGAAGCTAGTGTTATCTTGCCAGGTGTCCAAATGGCCACACATCTTTATTGGGGTTCTGCCACTTCCCAAGCCAGCTGCTTATTGTAAAGTCTCACACGCCCCTGGGCCTGGGAATGTAATGTTGAGTACATATTCAGTGAAAGAAAGGTCAAGCCTGGTTTTTTTTTTCTTTTTCTAGCCAGGGCAGAGCCAGATATTGTATATGGAATTCATAACTTAGTTGGTTCATTTTAAACCCAAATACTTCCATCTTTCAATATTTCTTACCACACTAAGCACCGATGCAACCCTTCCTGCCCCCCCTCTCATGATCTGCCCAAGTTCACAGAATCCGTATTGCTGTCAGATGGCCATCTAGCCTCTGTTTGGAAACCTCCAGAGCCCACCACCTCCCGAGGAAGCCTGTTCCAGGCTGTTCTGGGGGGCTGGCAACATAGGCAGGAAAGCTCCTGTAAGGTGAGAGGCATTCCTTGAGATATAACGGGCACAGTATCCTCAGTAACAGCTTATATAACATGTTTCTGCAAAACCTTAAAAACTTGTCTTTGTTCTGCCTTCATACAAAAGAAATGTCTGGGATGTGTAGCCGTACGTCTAACTCCCTTGAGCATCTCTCGCTTTAGTGTCGGTGTCCGAAATGTGTGACATGCTATTGCAGAGAGAGACTTCCCCCAGCCTCCTATTCTTGCTGCATTGCTGAAGGTGTATTTAGATGCCGCCTCTGTCGGCTTCCCCTCTGCCCCTTCAACTTGATGCTGGAGGGAAAGCGGGTTCCAAGAGCCCCGAAGCATCCTGTTGGCCTCCCAGATCTCCCGCTGGCCCGGATGTCCACCATGATCTCTCCTGCCCCAATTAGAATGTCATCAGTTGAACAGCTCTCCAGTGCCTAATCAGATTAATTAAAGGGCCAACGGCAATGCATTCATTGCCAGCTTGCCTGATGATCTGCACAGCACTGGAGGGCTGGCTTTGGAACGGGAAGCAGCACTTCAGTGAATGAGAGCTGAGCTCCAAGATCCGGTGTGCGAGCCCTTAGCCTGGTGTCCTTTTAGAGTGTGACGTCTGTGGGGAGAGGCTTGGGAGAATGCACTGTTTGTGGCTGTTCCTGTCCTGAAAACATCACTGAACTAAAGGACTTCAATTAAGGTCTGAGTGGCCTCAGTGTCTGGGGGGGGGGGCTCGCTTTTTGGGTGCTGCTCCTTCCGTTGTTAGCAGTGTGGCAGCATGAAAACTGAAGGTCTTAACCTGGATGTGGCAAGAAATAACGGGAAGCTGAAGCTGATAAAGGAATCAGTGGGACAGGCGAGGGGTGCAGGCACTGGAAATGAATGACAGTTGTGACTGTTCTCGGTTGACCTCTGAATTGCTTCATTTTACAATATCCACAGTGGGCCAGGGCGTCTGTTCTTCTGCAGTTCCCTTATATGTAGGCTGTATAAACTGTGAACAAGTGCCTGGAGGCAGTTTTGGAACTGATGAGGGCTAACAACCTGGGGGGAAACGGAGGTGCTACTAAGGTGGGGAGGGTTTGACTGAAATGGGACATCTGCCCTGACCTGAATAGCCCAGGCAAGCCCGATCTTGTCAGATCTCGGAAGCTGAGCAGGGTCAATTCTGGCAAGTACTTAGATGGGACACCTCCTTGAAATACCAGAGCCGGGAAGCAGGGGCAGGCTTTATTTAGCCACCTCTCTGAATATCCTCCATGCCCCCAGTAGGGGTCAGTCACCAGAGGCTGCCATGACTTCCAGGTGCACACACACATTCGCGTACGCAGGCACACACACATGCACATTAAAAAATAAAAATACCCCCCAAAAAGAAAGAAATGGGGTATATCTTGTTCTGGTTGGGTTTTCACTTCCCTTAAAGGAGTAGGTTCATAGCTTAGGGGTGCTCCTGAACCCAAGCCCCCTGTTGTATAAACAGTTAGCAGCTGTGGCTCAGGACGGAGTGCCTTTTACCAACTTTGGCTGGTGAGCCAGCTATGGCCTTTCCTGTGGGGAAAAGATCTTGCCACTCTGGTCCATGCCCTGGTAACATCTAGGTTAGATTACTGCAGTGCACTCAGCATGGGGCTGCCCTTGAAGACCAGCTGGAAGCTACAACTGGTGCAGAAAGCTGGGCCAGAATGTTGACTGGAGTGGGTCATAAGGACCATATCACTCCAGTGTTCTTCCATATACACTGGCTCATGGTTTGCTTCCAGGCCCAATTCAAGGTGCTAGCGTTGTCTCTGAAAGCCCTATGGAGCCAGCATTCCTTCAGGACCAACTTCTTCCATATGAGCCTATGCATCCACTCCAGGCATCTTCAGAGGCCCTGCTTCAGGTGCCCCTGACATCTGGGTCTAGATGGGTGGTAACCCAAGAAAGGACCTTCTTCCTGGTCAGGGCACCAAAACTTTGGAATTCCCTCTCCAGGGGGACTTGCCGTGTCCCTCTATTGTTGACTTCTGCCAGCAGGGGAAGACTTTTTTTTTCTTTTTGTTTAGCACACTCCCCAATAACTGTTATTGGCCCTCCTCCCTGGCTTTTGTGTTAATGGGCATTTGTAAGTTTTTATTTAATTAGTTTGCATATATTTTATTTTAAATGTCACTTAAATGTTGAAATGTTTTGATGTTTGCTGTCTTGGGGGACCCTGTCTGGGTGGAAAGCTGGCACAGAAACAATAAAGCAACTTTTTAGGTTTGGAGGGAGACGATTGAACAAGGGATGTGCAAGTGTGTAACAGGCCCTACAGTTTATGGGCAGAGCTTCTATGTCTGTCCATTCCTTCATCTAAGTAACTAATCGCATTCCTCTTTCTCTATAATATCATTCAGGTTATATATCTTTACCATAATACCTTGCTCAACAGAAATACCTGGACGTATTTCAAATAATTCTGGTGCAAATCTTTTTCTATTTTTATGTGTAGAGTTTACAAAGTTGTTAAATGATATCATCTACACAGATTACCCTTAATTTTGATCCTAACTTTTTCAAATTCAGTCACATGTCTTAAAGAGACCGTTCACCCTTTCTGCCATAACAAAACTTCTCTCCTAAAGATTTCCCATTGTTTGGTTCAGATATCAGATAGCAGGTTGTCTCAGTTCTAATATTCCTGTCATGAGTTTTTTTAATAATTTGAAATTCTATTATATAATTGTTCTAATGGGATAGAAACAGCAAAAAAGAGTCAGTCTTCCTGCACAGTAATGAAGTTCCAACCCTGGGCCTTGTCCTGCCAGTCTTTTGACCTATTTCCAGAGATAATTGTAAGCAGGCATTGGGACAGGAAAACCACCTGTCTCTGGTATGGTTGAGTTCTGTTACCTTACAGTGGGTTATCAGCTATGGGGCATTGCTTGAAGAGCTGAAGGAGCTTTCTTCTAACTTAGTGGCTCTTTTGCTAGAGGAAGGATCCTGAATCTGGAGGAAAGCTTCATGCCTTGCTGAGCAGAGGGGTTGAATACAGGCCAGAATGTTCCATTGGGTGGAGTGTGGGATTTGGCATAATCTTAATAGAGCAATTCAGTACAAATTATTCCTGTGTGTTATAAAGCTAATTGGGGGGGGGAGACCCCTCAAGATTCAACTGAAACATATGCAGATAACTTTTGGGAGGCCAGTGGGTATACTGCACCCATATACAAGTGTGTACTATATGTACACTGCTGCTCAGCTCTCTTTAGAGCACTAGCTTTCCTGCCCCCTCCCCCAGATAGACCTATCTGTCTTCCTTCAGAGACCTAATGGTGCCACAGGTCACCTTTCTCATGCTCTCCTTCCCCATTTTATCCTCTCAACAATCCTGGGAGATACGCTGGCCCAGGGTCACCCAGCTGCCAACAGGGGGGTTGAACCTGTGTTTTCCAGATCCTAGTCTTCCACTCCAACCTGACACCAGCTGTCTTGGCTGCATCATCCTGTTCCAAGGGGCAGATTCTCCTCTAACGTCTGTCACAGCAGCAACAAAGGGCATCTTGGTCCTTTTCTCCCCTTTTGCTGCAGTGAGCTCTTGGCTTCAGTATTTCACTTGAGTTTCCTTGTGTTTTTAACCTTTTTAGCTCGTTGCTAAGGCACCCAGTTTTATTTTAGCCAGAAGATAGGTTTTCCCTGCTCAGGATGCCACTTAATACGTCTGTGTGACTGTGGTTAACATGTTAAAAGTGCTGGTTATCTAGCAGGTCTTGGAACTGGCCTGCTTGTTTCCAGTTTAGGCAGGCCCTTGGGTACAGGAAGCTGGCTAATATGTCTCTGATTTTGCAACAGCTGCATGCTGCCTAATGTGCCCCTTATCAGTGGCCTGCATTTTTCTTTCTCCTGTCCTTCACTAGGTGTGCTGAGTTTGGAGGAGTTTAAGCAGCTGAACATCCGGGACTTCCACAAGTATATGGGAAGCCAAAAAGTGAAAATGAGTGACCTAGTGCGGAATAGCCAGCACACTTGGCTGTATCAAGGCGAGGGAGCACACCAGGTCATGCGCTCTATACGGCAAAGGTAAGCTCTCTCCTTGGGGCAAAACATAGGAACTCTCCCACTTGTGGCTGTACTAGGATACAGCACAATCAGGTCTTTTATTTATCGCAGGATTTCCATTGACTTAAATGACTAATAATCTAGACGTTATAGTTGAATAATCAGTCAGTCGGCAAATAAATGTGCACATTACCCTTCTGACGAGACTGAAAAGGTGTCAGACTCTTGAACAAAGTTACCCTCAATAACACTCTCTCAGCAGTGATAGGTTTATTGAGTAGTAAAGATGATTCAAGCTAAGACTTCTTCGTGTCAGAACTAAAGGTTTGGTGCCAATGCCCAAAGATATACAGAATTCAAACCACATCAACACGCACCGCACTATGTGTCCGATTA